AAACTTGTGGCAGGGTTAAATTGTAATTCTTGATAACTTGCTGCACACATTCCTGGCAAGTTGTAGACTTGAAGAACACTCGCAGCACAAGTTCTAGTTCACACTTTTTGAATTTGTAGCAAATTTGCTTGGCAAGTCTACAGCAAGAATCCTGCAGGTCTTAGCAAGAGCTCTGCAAGCATGTTGGTCTGGAGACTTGCAATGCGGACTTGCTGTAATTGTGCAACAAAATTGTGAATCTTGGGAAGTCTACTATAGTTTAGCAAGTCATCTTCAAACTTGCAACTCAATTGCTTGCTATCTGGGGTGATGTCAGCAGTTTCCTGATCACTTTGTCCCCCGGAATAGTTTTCCTCCTCCATGGCTCTTCCTCTGCTCCCCGCACTGTACATATAGAGAACTCTTCTCTGTCACAGTATTCTCCCCTCCCCCGTGTGCTCCATTCCACCAGATCCTCCACTTCTTATCATCAGTCCCCTGTGTGCTCCGTTCTCACTCACACTCAGCTCCTCCCCCTCCCCTCTCTGCACCTCTCTATCCTCCTTCCTCCTCTCTATGATACTGTTAGGACGTCACTTCCGGGTTATGACATGACCTCCCCTCAGACTTCTCCCACATCTCTGAGGTGACTTCCTCTCTCTCTCTCTCCCCGAGCGGCCGATTCCAGCACTAGAGGAGATCCTTCCATCACATCCTATGGAGGTAATCCCCATTCTTCAGCTTGTCACCACTGACACCACACTGACCCATTTCTGACACATCCGGACCTGACCTCTTCCTGAGCTCCGCTCACACTCTTCATTCCAATCACCTCTGGAAATCACCTTTTATTTTCTCTTCCTGATTCTGGACACAAATGTCTCTGAGATTCGGCTTGTCTTTATTGTTGCATCATGGAGGAGGCGACCACAGGACAAACTACAAATCCCACCATGCCTCTGTCTCTGGGAGTCATGTCTGCGGCTGTGAGTCTTGCAATGCCTCATGGGACTTGTAGTTCCACAGCAGGTTGCTGAGATTGCCTCCCCCTCTGTGCCAGGGGTCCTTAAATGGACGCAGACCAAGGGGTGATTCTCTCCGGACCGCAATTGCCAACCTGCATTGGATTCTCCACGTCCACCTCAGTCACTGGTTGCTAGGGCTGCTGGTGTCCTAGCAACCAATGACAGGCTTGCCAACTACATGGCAGGTGTATGAAAGGGAACACCCTCTGCTGTCCTTTCTCTTATAAACTTTATAGTATTTGGTGGAACTTAAATAAATATATTTTCTGTTTGCATGAACTGTGTCTTTGCCTCATTTAAATTCTTACTTGGCTTTTAATCTTGCAATAGTAATGTGAGAATGTGAAAGTATGACGTATATCTGGGAAACGGGGACAGATATTTACTTGCTGTACTGTACCTATGTAGGAGCAGCATTGTCACCCTAGGACTGGAATGGTTAGGACTACAGAAACATCTCCCCCTGTCCTACTTCCTGATTACACTGTTTGATATAACACTGCAGAGTGCACCTACAATTAGGTGCTTGCTGGATTTCTGGCAGGATCAGCAGGTATATATTGATATAGCCCTCAAGGGCGGGGCCCTCGTTACCATCTTGTCTTGAATTGTATTGTGATTGGAATGTCTTCCTTTATATTGTAAAGTGCTGCGCAAACTGTTGGCGCTATATAAATCCTGTATAATAATAATATTATTATCTAAATACGTTCAGTGGTATTATTTAATGGTCCAACAGGGAAGAGACGTCCATTGTTAGAGTTTACATTCTGTATTGTGTGTGCCAATGGTGGACATCCTGTGCCCTCGATTCCATATAGCCAACATATAAGATTGAGACGAAATCGCTCTATAGAGGATGAATGTGAAACCGATGCCAAGCGTGTATAGGATAGGTTACTGTTGCGAGGTTAAAGCAAGAAACTTAAAATAAAAAAAGCCATATCAAAAAGCAAAACAGATAAATTGGGAGGATTTTTTTGTTTAAAGGAGAACTATGAGGTGAGTGAAAACCACTCATCCTCATAGTTCGAGCCGACGTGGGACAATGAAACTGTCACACGTCGGCTCAATAGATCGGGAAGTGATCGATCACATACCATCGTTCGCTCACTTCTTGATCATCTCTCTGCAGAGAGCAGTGACTGTCACTCACAGCTCCCTGCATCTATTCCTCCCCGCCCCGATCCTCCAGCGTTGAGTGGAGGAATGGGCTCTGCCTCTAGATAGGCAGAGCCAGCTGTCACTCACACAGCTGGGTGGATCTCAACAGTAATGTCGGGATCTGTCCTGGCTGCGGCAGTCTCGGTATACCGCAAGCTGTAGCTCGCTATATACTGAGTTTTGGGTCACGGGAGGAGGTTAGTATATGTCCTCCCGTGACCCTTAAGAGAACTATGGGGAAAAACACTTGGCGGAATGGACAGGGGAGGGGCGGGTACAGCTGGCTCTGCCTCTAGATAGGCAGAGCTAGCTGTCACTCACACAGCTGGGTGGATCTCAATAGTAATGTCGGGATCTGTCCTGGCTGCGGCAGTCTCGGTATACCGCAAGCTGTAGCTCGCTATATACTGAGTTTTGGGTCACGGGAGGAGGGTAGTATATGTCCTCCCGTGACCCTTAAGAGAACTATGGGGAAAAGCCCTGACCCCATAGTTCTCCTTTAAGATCTGTTATGTATGTTTACGATTATTGATAACGCATCATTATATATGTCAATGAATACATTCTATGATGTTTAAGACAATTAAGGATATTGGACATTACCTTTGGTGCCAGGGGCTTGTGGGGCATACACTGGTATTTTGACGTATGTCTAATAAGGTTGATGATTGATTTCATATATGTTACTAATATATATTAGTATATGCTATTAATCAAGAATTTATTATGATACCCAGGGAGACCTGTCATATTACCATTGGTGATACCAATGATATCTATTATGCCAATTGCTGTGCTTGTGCTATACATTACATGTTTATGGTTGGAATCTTATTGTCTGGATCCATCAACATATGTGTTTTGGAATGAGTTCCTTAAGAGCCAATGAATTTATCTGTTAAGTGGGAATTTTATGTGACTGAATCCGATTGGGAACAAGCTTTCGAAGAAGTGCTGAACGTGTTAAAGGAGAACTATGAAGTGAGTGATTCACACTCATCTTCATAGTTGGAGCCGATGTGTGACAATGGAATTGTCACACGTCGGCTTTATGGATCGGGAAGTGAGCGAACACATACCGCCGCTCGCTCACTTCCCAATCATCTCACTGCAGAGAGAAGTGACTATCAGGGAGATTCTTCCCCTCCCCTCTCCAATCTTCCAGCGCTGACTGGAGGAACTGATGGGGGAGGGGCAGGCACAGCTGGCTCTTCCTCTAGATAGGCAGAGCCAGCTGTCAATCAGCCAGCTGGGTGAATCTCGACAGTATATAATAGCCCACTATACACTGAGTTTTTGGTCACGGGAGGACGTTAGTATATGTCCTCACATGTTCTAACGAAAACTATGGGATAAAAAGGTTACACCATAGTTCTCTTTTAATGGAGAGGAGATGCAATATATGGGGATTTCAGTGTTTCGCAGCTCCGGAGGACATCGTGGTGATGAAACGCATAGGGGCGGGTCTAACACTACGAAACCATGTAACTTGGAGGATTATCTTTGTGCATGGATTGCCTGTCATGGCGCAGCATTTTTATCTGCAGTTGAGCTTAATGCTTTATCCGGGTGCGGGATTAAGCACCAAATAATGAGAGTACCTGTGCATTGAATTTTATCATTCTAATAAGGAAACCATTTTATGCTATGAGCCTTCCTCAACATCATTTTCATGATTTCCGCGTTTTGTGTTCATCTCCCGGATAGTTCATAGTAACATACTGCGCTATATGGGCTTTTTTTGGAAGCAAGAGGGTCATATCCTTATGCTGAGTGTGATTCCATTTGGGGTGTCTGTGGCACGGGGTGACCGACATAACTGGATAAAAATGGATGTTACTTTCATGTGGTGGATCGAGTGGCATCTTGGATCCTTATGCCTTAGATGAACGTTCGTCACTGCTGATATTAGGATAGACTGAAGATATAAATCTATTGTATTCCTACACAGTGGTGGATGTTTGCCGATCACACAATTTTGAATATTATGTATGATTAATGATACACTGTTACACTTTAATTTGCTTTTTGTACGTTATTGATATGCACAATAATTGTTATTGGATTAGAGAACTATGATCACATGATGTTGGACATTATGAAATAATGTTTACATGTTGTTGCACTTTAATTTGAGTTGTATATTGATTACTGCTTTAATTGGTATATAAATTATAATGAAATAGTTTTGATGGATCTTTGCCGGACTTTAATGGTACTCATATGACAAAGTATATTTGTTTTTATAACATTTCATCTTTATTAAAACATCTCTTAAAAGCTTACAACCATAAGTTTGCTGTAGCAGTGTCCAATATATGCCCCGGTACAAACTTTTCCTGAGAGAATATCTTGTTTCATTACCGGCCAATTACCACCTAGTGATATCTTTTAGTTGGTATACACACATACAGTCCATATATCTTAAGATGCGCTGGATCTTCAAACGGTCAAGTGAACGAAGAAGACCTCAACGTATTTCACAATATTTTGGGATCTGTTGCTTCTTCAGGAGGCTCTCAGGTGAGTAACATTTTACACAAAGAGAATAAACTGTTGAAGCAACAAAAGAGGAAAGGCATGAGCATAAACCTATATTTGAAAATGATTTTTATGGTTTCTTCAATATTATAATATCTGAAGACATGCAGAAAAATGCAGAAATGTAATTCCAAGGTTCTTTATCTGTTGTCAATATTCTATAATAATGTATTTTTATTTTTTTAGAGATCCACCGTCAGGAGTCTGAAAATATACTACTGCTAAGTTGTTATTCTTTAGCACATGATGGATCCCGGAGGACACAAGCTATATGAGTGCTCGGAGTGTGAGAGAAGCTTCATTTCAAAGTCACTTCTTACAGTTCACCAGAAGATTCATAATGAAGAGAAACCATCTGAAAAGTACCACCAGAGTAACGCAGGAGAGAAGACCTTTAAATGCTCAGAATGTGCTCAGTGTTTCCCAAAAAAGGACAATCTGTTTAAACACCAGAGGACTCACACTGGAGAGAAGCCATTCAGATGTTCAGAATGTGACAAGTGCTTCACACAAAAGGGATCTCTTACTCAACACCAGAGGATCCACACTGGACATAAATCATTTAGATGTTCAGAATGTGGAAAGTGCTTCACACAAAAAATAAATCTTACTCAGCACCAGAGGACTCACACTGGAGAGAAACCATTTAGATGCTCAGAATGTGACAAGAGCTTCAGACTAAAGAGAAAACTTACTGAGCACCAGATGATACACACGGGGGCGAAACCATATAGATGTTCAGAGTGCGACATGTGCTTCTCACAAAAGAGGAATCTTATTGATCATCAGATGATCCACACAGGAGAGAAACCACACCGATGTCCAGAATGTGACAAATGTTTCACCAAGAAATCTCAGCTTGTTGATCATCAGAGGACTCACACTGGAGAGAAACCTTTTAAATGTTCAGAATGTGACAAGAGCTTTGCACGAAAGATAAATCTTACTGAGCACCAGAAAACCCATACAGGAGAAAAGTTATTTAAATGTTCAGAATGTGACAAGTGCTTTTTAATAAAGAAATATCTCACTAAACACCAGAAGATCCACACAGGAGAGAAACCATACAGCTGTTCAGAATGTGACAAATGTTTCACCTCCAAATCTCAGCTTAGGGTTCACTGGAGGACTCACACAGGAGAGAAACCATTTCAATGCTTAAACTGTGACAAGAGCTTCACACAAAAGATGAATCTTATTCAACACCGGAAAATCTGCAATGAAATAGTGGTGTTGTTTTAATACTCTGAATGAAAAGTACTTAAATCAAAAGTTACATTCTATTGGACGCTGGAGGAATCACCTAGGAGAGAAGCCCTATCCATATTCTGAAAGTGATACATTTCACATTATAGAAATATCGGCTTGTATCTGTTAGACCGCATTCACATTCGGGAATAAGGCTAATCACATGATTCTCACAAATTTCTCTTTGAGATCCATGCGATCAGCTGCATCCAGCTATGATCATCTGCAGCTAATCGCAGCACATGTGATTACAACAGCTGCAAATGGCAGTGGGTGGTGACAACTGTCATTAAACTGTACAGCCCGTCCCACCTGCAGCTGACCGCATGTTTCTCGGAGAGGAATTCATGAGATTGTCCCCATTCACAAGACTGTGCTGATGACCTAAACACAAATCTTGGTCAAAAACACATTGGGGTTGATTTACAAAATTAGTAGAGACTGTTGACTTGGGAATCTGTATGTTCACTTAGCTTAGTAAACAAGGTGGGGATGTGACCACTATGAATACCCAGTTATGTGCAAGGGAACAGAATTTTTGCTTCCTCAAAACTGGATAATAGAATGAAACATCTTTACCTCACTTGCTAAGTAAATCGATTTTTCAGAAATAACTAATAATGTACTAATATTTTAGAAAGAAAATTCCAGTGCAATGTGTATATGTCACATGAGTTTATAATGCACTCAGTCATTTGGATGTCCCTACGCAGAACATTTACTCCAGCGCAGCTACCGTATCTTTGGGTAAACTTTAAGATTTTGGTCAGGTGCAGTTAAAATATATTTGTACACTTGTGACTCAACTCAACACCAGAGAAGTCACACTGGAGAGAAACCATTTAGATGTTCAGAATGTGACCAGTGCTTCATACGTGAGGAAACTCTAACTCGGCACCAGAGGATCCACACTGGACAGAAACCATATAGAGAGTATTCAGAGAGTGACACGTGCTTCAGACAAAAGTCTCATCTTACTGAACACTAAAGGAGTCACTCAGGACAGAGACCATATAGATGTTCAGAATGTGACGTGAATGAATCAGATTTTTTGCTTTCGCATAGTTGAATGGAATTGAGCACGTCTTTACTCATTCACTAAGTGAAGGGAACATATACATTACAAAGTGAACAATGCTGGCTGCAGCTGTAGGCCAGGGAAGGGGCTGGTGCAGGTGTGGCTGTCAGGCGCGGTCAGTAAGGTAGAGTTAGCTGTCGGGCATCCGGGGTGGATTCTGACATAATTGATGGGAACTTTCTTGACTGCAGAGTGGTTTTGGCCTGTTTGCTGATGGTGGGCATTAGCCTGCTATCAGCTGACATTAGTAATTGTACTCTTGTGACCCAAAGGTAACTAATTAGTGTGGCAGCGTAAGCCCATGCCACGGTGTAGTTTGGCAACTATGGCCCCAGGACTGGAGCTCTAACCCACCCAGAGCTCTAAGAAATCTCCAGATCCCAGCTACAATTCTGAAAACCTGGTGGAATCTGACAGGCCAGGTTCTTCCTTATAAAATGGTTTACTCTCTGGACTCTCTCAGCCCCTCTTGCTGATAGTCCTGGGTGCCATAGTTGCCAAACTACACCGTGGCATTGGCTTACACTGCCACATAAGGTTTGGTTTTACTTCTCTTTTATAGTTGGAATAAATATCTATAATCGGGGGTGCCAAATTATACGCATTTTAAGAGATGTCCTCTATATATTACTTTTCAAAGTTGAATTGGATGACGGTGACAATGTGTAGTATGACGTTCGCTCAATAGGTGGTGGTAATCAAATGAATGCTGGCGTCACCATGCCACAGGCAGAACAGTCAAAAAAAATGGTGGAAGCGCGGTTGTCGTTCGAGGAGCGCAAGACCATTTTGAAGTGGTATTTGAAATTCGAGAACGTCGTGGAAGTACAATGACAACGGAGGTGCGAGTGTGCAACAGAACCTCCAACACGCCTAACAATTACACACATTGGTGATAAGTTACAGGCGCATGGTACTGTGTGTGTGATGTGCGCAGTGATATAAGTTGACACTTTGGTCAAAGTTGCTGAAATGGTAGTTGGTGGTAATCGGAAGTGTCCGGACACTGATGGTAACCACTGTGAGCAGCTCTTGCAATTGCAGAAGTCAAACGTGACTTGTATTCATCTTTTGTTATCAGTGTATGTTGAGTATTACAATTTAAATACAGTTTCTCCCTTCTTAAAATGTGTCTACATTTTTTGGCACCCTTTGTATGTATGTATGGGTATATGAGGGATACACTGTTACCGATACTAGTAGGGATGCACCGATATATCGGCCGCCGAAACATATCGGCCGAAAGTGGCACTTTTGGCATAATGCCATTTTCCTGCCGATGCATCGGCGCATCCGCATTCCTCCACGCTGGGCGCTGCTCTGTGTCCCAGCGGGGAGAAGAGAAAGTGACAGCCGGCCGAGCGCTGCGGTGGAGAGCGCTGTGAGTGGCCGGTGTCTCCTCCCACCACCGCTCTGCCGCCTATAACAGTCCGGCAGAGCGGTGTGTGGGCGGAGACAGCGCTGTCACAGGAGGCTGGGCTTTCCTCTCTACACCGCTCGATCAGCCTCCTGTGATGTGGGTCAGAGAGGAGAGCGGTACACACACTCAGTGATCAGTGATCGCTGAGTGTTTGTACATAATTGAGGACATAGCATGTTAACTATATCCTCAATTATGAATGAATGGGAAGTGATCTACATCCCCTCCTGTTCATTCATAGTTGTAGTTACAGTAAACACACTATGTTCCCATGTTATCAATGAACAGGAACATTCAGTATAGAGCAGTGGTTCTCAACCTGTGTAGCCTCAGGACCCACATTTGTGCTTGGTCTTTAAGTCGGGACCCAAGTTGCACTGCAATGGAACGCATGGCATTAGGGTACTGCGCGTACCAGTGCGGTCCTACGAACTGTGGGTGGGAGGTGCGTTTTTGGTACAATTCAAATGAATGGCAATGCAACACACCTCCCACACCAGAATGCACAGTAGGTGCGATTGTGTTGTACAGTGCAGTAATCACACGGTACTATGTAATTAAAGCACTGTACTAGTGTGAATGGGCCCAAAGACACTGACATACATACACAACCACAGACACACACATACACACACACTCCAAAAATGTTGTATTTCTTTTTAAGGTCCACCCAGTCTCCTTAATTTACGAGAACTGGAGTGGATCCTCAGCCTGGGATCCAGTGTGGGCTGCTGTGCTGTGACAGAGCTCCATCCATATGTGCATTGCTTGTACAGCTCCTTTGCGCGCCCTTTAGAGGTGTCGGGACCCAGAATGTGACGTCACTCCAGTCCAGGCGCCTCTATAGGACTCGTGAGGGAGCTGTAAGCAATGCACGTTTGGATGGAGCTCCCTCGTGGCCATAGACCCATCGCATCCCAAGCTGACACTCGGCAACATGCAGCATATTTTTAAAGGTTGCTTTGTGTGAGAACTGACAGTGCTGTGCTAGGGGGAGGCAGAGGAGCCTCTCACCTAGAAAAGCGGAAGGCATGCGGAGACCCACTGAACACGGGGTCACGACCCACCAGCTGAGAACCAAGGGTAATGGGGATTCCTGTTCATTGATACCAGGGGACACAGAAAAGTATAAAAAACATTTTCGGTTTCGGCCTGACATTTTTTTTTATTTCGGTTTTGTTTCGGTTTTAAAATTTCCATTTCGGTGCACCTCTAGATACTAGTATTGGTGCCGATATCGAGTACTCCCGGCCGACCTGCCTCCTGACTGCCTGATTGCCCGAGAAGCCGGCTCCACACTGTTAGACCCGCTTCATATTGATGGGCTGGGAAGCCTGCTTCCTGGCCAATCAGCATGGAGCTGGTCAAACAGCGTGGAGCCGGTTTCCTGAGCAAGGGTCTTAGTGACTCCGCTGTGAGCTGTGTGACCATTCATGGGACTGAGCGACTCCACAAGGAGCTCTGCGACAACGCATGGGACTGAGCCATTTTGCTGGGAACTGTGTGGGAATGAGTGACTCCTCAGGAAGCCGTGACAACGCATGGGCATGGGACTGAGTGACTCCACTTGGAGCTGAGGGACAATGCATGAGGCTGAGTGATTTTTGCCTGGAGCTGTGACAACGCATGGGACTGAGTCATTTTGCTGGGAGCTGTGCAACAATGCATGAGACTGAGTGACTCTGCAGGGAGCTGTGTGAAAACGCATAAGACTGACTATGAATGAAGCTGTGTGACAACGCATGGGACTGAGTGACTCTGCAGGAAGCTGTGTGACAACGCACAGGACTGAGTGACTCCTCAGGAAGCTGTGTGATAACGCATGGGACTGAGTGACTCCGCAGGAAGCTGTGTGACAACGCATGGGACTGAGTGACTCAGCAGGAAGCTGTGTGACAACGCATGGGACTGTGTGACTCCCCAGGAAGCTGTGTGATAACGCATGGGACTGAGTGACTCCGCAGGAAGCTGTGTGATAGCGCATGCGACTGAGTGACTCCGCAGGAAGCTGTGTGACAGCGCATGGGACTGAGTGACTCCGCAGGAAGCTGTGTGAAAACGCATGGGACTGAGTGACTCCGCAGGAAGCTGTGTGACAACGCATGGGCCTGAGTGACTCCGCAGGAAGCTGCGTGACAACGCAGAGTACCTGTTTAAGCTGTAACAAGCTGTGAGTTTCCAGGTACAGGAAGACATGTGACTTCACAAGAAAAGAATGTGCTCTGCCAGCTAGTTTTATCTGTGATTGGTTAATGAGTAACCTCTGACCTATGACATCACTCCTGTGTCTGTGATGATTCTCGTGTCCCGAGCTGGAGAGTGTTCTGATTCAGCAGAAGAAAAGTAGAAAGTCAGCAGCAGATTATCCCCGGGGGAGGGGATCACAGGGTAACCCATCACGGAGCAAAGACAGAGAACCCGAACTCGTCCAGTAAGTGATCCTGTTGGGCGGTGGAAATGCTGGAAATGCTGAGTAAATATCTGACTTGTGTGGAACTTCCTGTTTAGATCTGAATAGATATTGAGCGGTTTATATACAGAAACGTTTTACAACATTTTATTGCTTCGCGCCCACCGAGATCTCCGCAGGCGTCTTTCTAGTTACCGGGTGTTATTTGTTTTTCAGCGTTATAATCCAAATCTCAGCTATCCCAATGTTACAACGTATTTAGCTGCAAGCACAGCGGCGTAGCGGTTAGCGTTTCTGCCTTGCAGCACTGGGGGTGCCTGGTTTGGTTCCCGGCCAGGTCACTATCTGCATGGAGTTTGCATGTTCTCCCTGTGCTTGTGTGGGTTTCCTCCGGGTACTCCGGATTCCTCCCACACTCCAAAGACATGCTGGAAGGTTAATTCCAAACTGGTCCTTGAATGTTTAGGTTTTCTTGATCCTGCCGGTAACAGGATCCTGCCCAAGGGTGACAACACTCACTGTACCTATAGAGGAGCAGCGTTGTCACCCTAGGACAGGAAGTGTGTTAGGACTACCGAACATCTCCCCCTCTGCTAACAAACTTCCTGATAATGTTGTTTGAGTGCACCTCAGATTAGGAGCTTGCTCGATTTTTGGCAGGATCAACAGGTTTTATATATATAATACTGTGTGTGTGTGTGTGTGTGTGTGTGTGTAGATAGATAGATAGATAGATATCTGAACGTATTCAATTGTATATTTAAAAGTCTGAAAGGTAACAAATAAGAAAGGTTCATTTTTGGGGTTTACATATATTCATAATGCATTCGCCCGGACAGGTATCACATCCATGTTCAGGTGAAACTCGAATAATTAGAATATCATGCAAAGTTCATTTATTTCACTAATGCAACTTAAAAGGTGAAACTAATATATGAGATAGACTCATTACATGCAAAGCAAGATAATTCAAGCCGTGATTTGTCATAATTGTGATGATTATGGCTTACAGCTCATGAAAACCCCAAGTCCACAATCTCAGAAAATGAGAATATTGTGAAAAGGTGCAATATTCTAGGCTCAAAGTGTCCCACTCTAATCAGCTAATTAAGCCATAACACCTGCAAAGGGTTCCTGAGCCTTTAAATGGTCTCTCAGTCTGGTTCAGTAGGAATCACAATCATGGGAAAGACTGCTGACCTGACAGTTGTGCAGAAAACCATCATTGACACCCTCCATAAGGAGGGAACGCCTCAAAAGGTAATTGTAAAAGAAGTTGGATGTTCCCAAAGTGCTGTATCAAAGCACATTAATAGAAAGTTATGTGGAAGAAAAAGGTGCACAAGCAGCAGGGATGACCGCAGCCTGGAGAGGATTGTCAGGAAAAGGCCATTCAAAAGTGTTGGGGACTTTCACAAGGAGCGGACTGAGGCTGGAGTCAGTGCATCAAGAGCCACCACACACAGACGGATCCTGGACATGGGCTTCAAATGTCGTATTCCTCTTGTCAAGCCACTCCTGAACAACAAACAACGTCAGAAGCGTCTTACCTGGGCTAAAGAAAAACAGACCTGGTCTGTTGCTCAGTGGTCCAAAGTCCTCTTTTCTGATGAGAGCAAATTTTGCATCTCATTTGGAAACCAAGGACCCAGAGTATGGAGGAAGAATGGAGAGGCACACACTGCAAGATGCTTGAAGTCCAGTGTGAAGTTTCCACAGTCTGTGTTGATTTGGGGAGCCATGTCATCTGCTGGTGTTGGTCCACTGTGCTTCATTAAGTCCAGGGTCAACGCAGCCGTCTACCAGGAGATTTTGGAGCACTTCATGCTCCAGACGAGCTCTATGGGGATGATAACTTCATTTTCCAGCAGGACTTGGCACCTGCCCACACTGCCAAAAGCACCAAAACCTGGTTCAATGACCGTGGGATTACTGTGCTTGATTGGCAATGCTGGGGCCCGGTGCTGCTAGGGCCAGGCCTCTGCACAGGGGCCCGGCCGCCTCTTCGCCTGTCGCCATCGACCGATATCCATACCCCCCTGATGGTGGTCCTGCTGATTAGTATATGTATATATTGATAGACCGTTGTGTGACTTGAATATCTTCTAACACAAACAAAAATTATCATTGTTACCATTTCCATTGATATTGAAATCAGGGTGTCACCTGTTGGTGGTATTTATTGAACATTTTAAATTAAAGCTCCTTCCTGAAATATTCCCTCTCAGGATTAGAATGGTAATGAGGGGGAGGGGGAGTGGAAACCAAGAATAGTCACCAGAAACATGTCTTTTGTTATGTAGAGGAAATCCATTAGCAAATCTAAAGTCACTTTGTATTGGTGGGTGGAGGTAACTTGCATTTAAGGTGATGCAGAGCTAAGTGAATTTAGAATTACAGACAGACCAGGAGAAGAAGGTGCTGCTGAGACCCCTCGACACTGCACTGTTTAAGGTATATTTTTTTTCATTGAACACTTAAAGGAGAACTATGGGGTCAGGGATTTTCCCCATAGTTCCCGTAAGGGTCACGGGAGAACACAAACTAGCGTCCTCCCGTCACCCAAAGCTGAGTATACAGAGACGCCGCAGCCGGGACGGATCCTGACAATACTGTCTGGATCCACCCAGCTGCGTGATTGACAGCTGGCTCTGCCTATCCAGAGGCAGAGCCAGCTGTGCCCGTCCCCTCCCCTGTTTGTTTCGCCAGTCAGCGCTGGAGGATCGGACAGGGGAGGGGGGGAATCCCTGCACCGAGCCGTCAGTGACAGTAACGCCTCCCTGCAGGGAGATGATCGAGCAGTGAGCGAGCGCCGTTATGTGTTTGCTCACTTCTCGATCTACTGAGCCGACCTGTGACAGTTTCATTGTCACAGGTCGGCTCAGATTATGAGTGATAGAGCCATCTTAGTGATAGACGCCGGCAGAGAGAGGAGGGGACGTTCACCCGGCGGGATGAGGTATGCGGCCGGGTCCCCTCCACTGTCCTGACACTGTCGGGTTCTCGGTCCATGACCGAGTGCCTGACTGTCACCCTCCAATGGTGTCACCCGGGTACGGGCCGCACCCCCCTTGTGACACCACTGTTTAGTGGTTTGATAAGCAGGGGAAAAAGTCCCCTAATTCCCGGGTATAAGAAAGCAGCTACCTAATGTAACAATACTGACGAGTCTTAGGTGCACATTTGGAAATATTTATTTCAAATATGTCTCTTTAAAGGACGCCGTTATTATTCACTGGTCTGTGCCACTGACCTTCATTCCGGGGAATTTCAGATGCCTGGTCTCCTGCTGCAAGGTTTTGCATTGCTGTGTCCTGTGATGATCAAGGGACCAGTGGAAGAAACCAAAGAGTGCAGATGGACACCAGGATGTCCACATTTCCGGATGTGACAGGTGCTGAAGGATCTCTGTAGACAGGTAGCAGCACCTTTCTCACAAAATGAACATCAATGCAGCAGGACAGCTGAGTATTAATTGTGTTATTTTACTGGGATTGTATCCATTTTTGGTGAAGCTGCGGAATCACTTTAGTAACCCACTGTCCTATACACGTTATAAATCTCTGGTGCGGCCTCATCTTAAATATGCGCTGCAGTTTTGGTCCCCAACTCTCAGGAAAGATGTCCACGTTCTTGAGAGAGTTCAACAAAGGGCTACAAAATTAATTAAATTGATAGAAGGCCTCAGCCGGGGGAGGAGACAGAGTGACACCCCGCCGTGATGTCATTACGCGCGCGCAGTTGTCTTATTGATGCCTGCCGGAGGCCATCTTGGTGATGGACGCCGGCAGAGAGAGTAGGGGGCGTTCACCTGGCGGGATGAGGTATGCCGCCGCGTCCCCTCCTCTCTCTTGACACTGTCGGGCTCTCGGTCAGTGACCGAGTGCCTGACTTTTCATAGGGGTAACACCAAAATGACTTAGTCATTTTGGTGTCACCCCTCCAATGGTGGCACCTGGGTGCGCCCCTCCCCTTGTGATGCCACAAGCCTGAGCTATAATGACCACCTTCAAAATGTAAACTTATTCACCTTAGAAAGGAAGTGATTAATAGGGGACCCTATTGCAGTCTTCAAAACCATCAATGGGGGCCACAATATCCGAAACAAGTTGTTTATTCCAAAAACTGTGTTGAGGACACGGGGACACAACAAGAGGTTGGAGGAAACGGGGTTCAAATTTAGAATTTGTAGGGGGCTTTTTTACTGTGACAGGTGTGAAATTGTGGAACTCCCTTCCGCAGACGGTGGTATCCACTGATAGCGTTGATAAATTCAAGAAACTTCTTGATGAGTTTCTTCTCTCACTTCATATACAAAAATATGGGCAGTGTTAGAGCCGTACAAATACAGACACATAATCACATACACGCATACACACATAGTGTAAATTGAACTGGATGGACCCTTGTCTTTATTCAACCCTACCTTCTATGTTATCAAAGGAGTATGGTCTTTTGAAGGCGTTGATCTACTGTGGTCAATCAAAATGTTTACTTTGATCTGTTGTTAGGTTAGATCTGAATCTAAACATTGTTTTGTTTTCCTTGTAGGCAAGTGGATTGTAGAAACCGCAGTTCTCCAGCACATGATGAGTCAAGTAGGAGATGCGACGTATGAATGCCCCGAGTGCCAGAAGAGTTTTACAGCCAAGTCAAGCCTCAGAACTCACCAGAGGGTTCACACGGGAGAGAAACCATTTAAATGTCCGCAGTGTGGCAAATGCTTCTCAAGAATCCACCATCTTGCTCGTCACGAAGTAGTGCACACGGGAGAGAAGCCTTTTTCGTGCTTCGAATGCACACGATTGTTTCCAACCAAAGAATCGCTAAGCAGACATCAGAGGGTTCACACTGGGTTGAAGCCATTTATATGTTCAGAATGTGACAAGTGCTTCTCTCTCTTCGCTAACCTTGCTGCACACCAGAGGACTCACACAGGAGAGAAGCCTTTCCGATGTTCAGAGTGTGATATGTCCTACAGAGAAATCGGTCATCTTATTCGGCATCAAAAGGCCCACACGGGAGAGAAGCCATATACATGTTCAGAATGTGACCTTGCCTTTGCAAATAAGGTACATCTTGCTGTACACCAGAGAATCCACACTGGAGTGAAACCATTCAGGTGTTCTGAGTGTGGCAAATGCTTCAAGCACAAGCAGCCGCTTGCTATACACCTCAGAGTGCACACAGGAGAGAAGCCATATTCATGCACTGAATGTAGTAAGAGTTTTAGGTCAAAATCATCTCTGATCCAGCATCAGAAGCTTCACATCGACGTCCAGAATGTCACAAGTGTTTAATAAGCGCATCCTACAACCGTCAATCCCACCAGAAGACCAGACAGTCTTCAATCCCACCAGAAGACCAGACAGTCTTCAATCCCACCAGAAGACCAGACAGTCTTCAATCCCAGCAGAAGACCAGACAGTCTTCAATCCCAGCAGAAGACCAGACAGTCTTCAATCCCATCAGAAGACCAGACAGTCTTCAATCCCAGCAGAAGACCAGACAGTCTTCAATCCCACCAGAAGACCAGACAGTCTTCAATCCCACCAGAAGACTCATTAGAGAGAGAGAGACATTGTACAAATTATACTATAATGCACAAGCACAGAGTTCTGGAAAGGCTGTGAAGACCTCATTCTAGGACCTCATAGTCTCAGTTTGAGCCTCGTAACTAGTTAATTATGTCACCACCACACCATATTAAAGTGAAGAACATGTCTGTTTATTGACACTTCATGTCAAAACAAATAACAACGTTTCAGGGGCCACATAGGGTCCCCTTTATCAGGCTTGAAATGGTCATTTCAAGCCTAATGTAGGGGACTCTGTGTGGCCCCAAAACGTTGTTATTTGTTATGACATGAAGCGTTAATAAATAGACACGTTCTTCACTTCAATATCAACATAGTAAAGTACATCACCAGCACACCAAGGTAAAATCTTCTACAAATGGTCATTCTATTGACGTCATGTCTGATAAAGGGACCCTGAGTGGCCCCGAAACGTTGCTTTATGACGAGACGTGTGTACATCAATAAAATGACCACTCGCTGAAGATTTTACCTTGGTGTGCTGGTGATATACTTAACTTTTTGGATTTGAAGTGGCGCCTGAAAGAGTTAATTATCTGTATTTTATAATGAATAGCTTATATTCTGTTCTAAATTCTTCCATTCTGTTTTTGCAATGTAACGCAGTTAATGATTCACTGTCTACAAATATATGGTTTAGTTACTTTAGCTGATGACATGGTTCCAGAACACTATGACCTGAGAATTACCTTTTTTGTCAAGCGATGCAGATTTTAGTTTGGACTATCATGTGATAGAAAATGACTCTTATGACTAGTAGCAATGACTAGTGACACGTATACTTTGAGCAATCTACTCCCCCTCCCTTTCTGTCTTCTACCGTGTTTCCCCAAAAATAAGACAGTGTCTTATATGTTTTTTTTCCACGAAAAAAGACACTAGGTCTTATTTTCGGGGGATGTCTTATGTGTACCTGGCTGCAGCTGTCCGCTTTCTGCTCGTGCGTGCGGGCGGGAGGGAGCTGCGGCTGCTCTCGGCTCTAATGCCATCCAGGGAGCCAGATTATATAAGCAAACTTTGTCAAATAAAGCATTGAGCATCTTTGAACACACAACTGCTTCCCGCGTATCATTTGATGTTCCCAGATATGTGAAAGACGGAAGGTGGTAGACCTATAGAAGAAGATATCGAGAGAATCTTGTAATATTTCCTTTCAGCGCCATCCACTATCACTGCAACACCCACTTTAAAGGGATATACCAGTAAGGAGTGCGGTGGGAACCTCTTTGGAACTTCACTTCAAGATGGCGTGCGGGTGACATCTTTAACAAGTTTCAGTATTGGCGACCCCATCCGCGCTCACTCCGGTCACCCACGCCTACAGGGATACCCAGTAAGGGGTGCAGCAGGATTCTGGAGTACATAGTTTCATCCTTGGAACACAGATGTTTTGATGATTTTATTTTTATCTGAAACAATAAAAAATTTTGTTTTTGAATATACCGAGCGTGTATTGAACCTTTGAGTCTATGGGAGGTGAAACAAGCTTTATTTTGCTGTCCATTTTCAAGGCTGATTGGCAAGTTATTTTTGTAAATTGGGCAGGGGGAGCTGGGCACTGCCATGGAGGACATGTACCAATGCAAAAACATCTTTTTTTTTAAAAAGGAGAACTATAAGGGTGAGTGACAATCACTCATCCTCATAGTTCGAGCCGACGTGTGACAATGAAACTGTCACATGTCGGCTCAATAGATTGGGAAGTGAGGGAACGCATACCGAGGCTCGCTCACTTCTCGATCTATCCCTGCAGAGAGCCGTGACTGTCAGTCACCGCTCCGCGCTGGGATTCCCCCCTCCCCTCTCCGATCCTCCGGGCGCTGACTGGAGGAATGGATGCGGCAGGGGGCGGGTACAGCTAGCTCTGCCTCTAGATAGGCAGAGCCAGCTGTCACTCACGCAGCTGGGCAGATCTCAACAGTAATGTCGGGATCTGTCCCGGCTGCTGCGCTCTCAGTATACGGGTCACAGCAGGAGGTTAGTATATGTCCTCCCGTGACCCTTAAGATAACTATGGGGAAAAACACTTACCTCGAAGTTCTCTTTTAACCTCCCTGGCGGTCTGATTATCTCAGTATTTTTTCTCTTTTTTTTTTTTCTTTCTATGTTTTACTTTTGAATTTCCCGCCGGTTCCGCCCCCCTGCAACACGGGCGCTTGCGGAAGACGGATGCCGGCATCGACCGGCGGACACAGCGAGGATCGTGGACAAGGTAATAAAGAGATGTCACCAGCACACCAGACTCCTTCAAGGATAGTCAATCGTGAATTTATTCAAAACTTATATAAAATACACAAGCGCTTTCGGGACCACACGGGACCACACAGGATCCCTTCATCAGGCATAGCAGTGAGCTGCAATGCCTGATGAAGGGATCCTGTGTGGTCCCGAAAGCGCTTGTGTATTTGATATAAGTTTTGAATAAATTCACGATTGACTATCCTTGAAGGAGTCTGGTGTGCTGGTGACATCTCTTTATTATCTGCAACTGGCGGCGCCATCCGCGGTCATTCCAAGCACCCTTCCCCATATTTGGGATGATCCGGTGAGGAGTGCAACAAACCTTTCTCTTCATAACGTGGACAAAGTAAGAGACGCTACGCTGTAATCCCGAGTGCGGCTCGGGGTTACCGCTTATGGTACTGAAAATTAACCCCGAGCCACACTCGGGAATACCGCCAAGGAGGTTAAATAACGTGCTTGCGGTGCTGCCAAGAGGTGATGTTTTGGAACCGTGTGATTTAATCCTTTTATTTCTCTACCGACCGCTGCATACAAATGGCCAGTAGGTGGAGGGGTAATTTCAGGGGGACGTACCAGTACATCCTCACATGTTTACTTTTGTGTGCGCACCAACACCCATACAAGCCACTGCTCATTAGACAGCAGAGAGCATTGGCTACAGACACATAGCCAATGGGACCGTCTCTCTGCCTTGTGATCGCTGCGATTGGTCATTACAGTGAAATAAAGAAGAGTCACTCGCACTCCAACTGGATTTCAAGTCAATGTTTATTGACCATTGTAGTGTCACATCATAGTAGCGGCGTTTCGGAACCACATGTTACCTTCTTCAGGCAAACACTAAGGACTTACCCGATCATTAATAGTCTGAATTGTGCACAGTCCTTTATATACGTGAGCTGGCCAGTGCTCGGGGCTCTCTCTTTCTGCTGCAGGAGCCTACTGCTGGTTGGAAAGGTTGAGTGAGCCGCCCGACTTCCTGATACACAGGGGCACAAGGCACAAGTAATCGGTATCGCTGAGTCCCGAAAAAAAAATATTGGTACTCATAATTGATACCGAAAAACCGGTATAGTTCCATCCATATCCCCTGTAGAGTAGTGATTTCCTATCCAGGAGTCTATTCCCTAACAAAGCCCCCTCTCTCCTTGCTCCTCCTAGCCCTCTCCTCTTCTGGGAGTGTTGAATTAATGTCTGTGCTGGCCCACCGGTCCCTACATAACCTTTTAGGTAGCTGCCGCAGGAGGATCGAAAGGGAATAGAATTGATCAAGGGTAGCCAAATTCCACCTCTGACAGCCACAGGCCTGTCTCCCAGAGGCAGATGCAAGATGGGATATGTAGTTTCAACACCGGGAAGGACGAGTGTGGTGAACCAGAATGGAGCTGAGGAGCGAAGGAAATAAATACATTATGGCCACAAGATGGAGCTGAGGAGCGAAGGAAATAAATACATTATGACCACTAGGTGGCGCTGAGGAGCACAGGAGATAAATTGACTTCAAGGACATTTAAACTGGTCAATTCCTTACAATGGAGTGTATCAAGTACGATAGAGATGTTCTTATTTCTATCTGTACTCACAACTTGACGGTTTTAACCCCGGATCCAAGCTGGCCGAGTGAGATCCTGTGGGAGAACAAAGGATGCAAACCGAAGCTGCGGCCCCGGGGAAAACGAGCCGGGATTAGGAACAGGCTGAGAGCCCGTGCACACCGCACACCTCTGCCAAGCATCCTGCTTGCCAATGTCCAGTCGCTGGAAAACAAGCTCGATGACATCAGGGCCAGGGTGAAGTTTCAGAGAGATATTCGGGACTGCAATCTCCTCTGCTTCACCGAGACATGGCTAAGCCCAGCGGTACCGGATCATGCCATCCAGCCGGCCGAGTTCTTCTCGGTTCACCGCATGGATAGAACTTTGGATTCGGGGAAGTCAAGGAGAGGCGGCGTGTGTCTAATGGTGAACAGTAGCTGGTGTAACAGCGCGAGTGTTGTTCCTCTCACACGCTCCTGCACACCCAACCTGGAACTATTAGCAGTCAAATGTCGTCCTTTTTACCTTCCTCAGGAGTTTACATCGGTCATAGTCAGCGCTGTTTATATTCCACCCCAAGCAGACACGGACACTGCTTTATGCGAGCTGCATGAGGCACTCACACAGCACCAAACACAACACCGGGACGCTGTGCTTATTGTGGCAGGGGATTTTAACAGCGCCAACCTCAAACGCACAGCACCAAACTTTTATCAGCACATCTCCTGCCCCACCAGGGGTGAAAGAACATTAGACCATTGTTACACGACAGTCAAAGAGGGTTACAGGGCACTACCGCGGCCCCCGTTTGGGAAATCAGATCATATAGCCATCTTCCTCATGCCAAAATACAAACAAAGGCTTAAACAGGAAGTTCCGGCTCTGAGGGAGGTTGCACGCTGGGCGGACCAATTGGAGGCCGGT